GTTGATTATTTGATTGTGTGATGTACTATATGGATGTTATCTAAGCTTGCACATTTAGTGAGCCACTAGGTGGAGTGACCCGCCAGGACCCATGGGGATCCACATTTCAGGTATAACTAAGTTGATAGGTGAAGCAATGCATTAGAGGCCCGCTTAAGGATTGGAGTGATTATTGGAGTGCCTTATGGCATTTTGACATTTGGAGATATATATTTTGGCATATTGGACTTAGTGTATTAACTTTATATTGTATATGATTGATGTACACCGTGTTTGGGTTTTCTTCATGCATTTATTTTGGGCTAAGTTCAATTTGGTATCGTTCATGGATAATGTAATTTGAGATTTTAGTTGAAATTTACTGTAATAGTTGTATTTGGATTAGTTAATGTAAATGTAATTAAATATACTTGACATTCTTGGTATGTCATATTAATGTATGTGATGGAAAAGTTTAGGCTTATTTGATATTGAGGTTGTTCATGGTTTATGTATGAAAATTTGATAATGACTTGAGTTGTAAGTAAGCTATGGATAATAGCTTGAATTATAAGCAATGATAAGAATATGTCTTGTAATGAAGGATGTAAGTAAACCAAGATTTGTTGGGCCTTTGGATGCCTTTCCAATGTCAATTAGGTACAGTTGAAGTTAAGGAAATGGTTGTAGAAACAAACACATCATGCCAAAATTTCCAGAAAACAATAAGATTTTTACATTAACTTTGGAGATCGACATCTCCCTCAATTCTTAGTAAAATGAAGTGTGTAACCCACCATTTTAAAGTACAGGATGTTCTCTTTGTTATCCTAAAATATGAGACAATTATGAGTTGTAGAACTTGCACAGAATAGAAATGAGCACGGATTGCCCTGTTCACTGATTTTGATGGCAACCTCTATCTTCAATTTTTAAAAATTCATATCTCTCACATTTCTTACCCAAATTAGGTTATGATATATCAAATTAAAGATCATGGAGTCTATTAGAACATATTAATATTTAGGAGCAAACATATAAGTAAAACATCTGAAGTTTTGAAAACAGTAAGGGATATTGGTGAACCCGGAAGTATAGTGTTGACAATTTTAATTAATTAACTTACGACAAGCATATCTAGAGCTATATAACTCCAATTGAGGCGTGTGAAACCTCGTTGAAAAGCTAGAAGAGTATAGTTTAACATACTAAAAGATTGAAATTTATGGAAATGTAGTCCATCTGCAGTTTTAGAAAAACTGAGGGCACCTCAAGTATGTAAAACATTAAATTGTGTAATTATGCTTTCTTGGTTTATGAGAACCAATTAGCAACTTTAAATCCATGTTGTATGATGTTAAGCTATAACATTTATATTTTCGCAATAAGTTTTGAGTTATGATCATAGTTTTTAAAATGTTTAATACATGTGTTTTAAAAGTGTAAGCGTTATTAAAAAGAAAATTTTTTCCCATATATTTAAATGAATTGTTATGATTGTAACTGCGCTTAATATCATAATTGATGATAACACACTAGTTTGGTACAATTTTTACAGATAGCCATGACGTAGACGAAGAAGAAGAAAAACAATGTCGTGATGTATGTTCCATGTATCCTTGTCGCGCCCATTTAGAAAGGGGTCCATGTCAAAGTTCATGCTCTGCCCAAATCGTCCATGGAAGCACCATGTGCAGTGGTAGCTTGCCGTCAAATATGGCAGAATGGTTCCCATGTACAACAAGTTTTGGTCCAATGGACCGGTCTTCCACCAGAAAAATGCCCCTGGGAGGGCCAAGATATCATTTTTCAGCATTACCCGACTTGGTAAAGTAGAAAAGAGTGCTTTTAAACTAGAGTGTGGTAGGTAATTCAAACACAAGGGACAATAACTTACCAGAAGAGAAGACTCGTAGATGCCAAAAGAGGAGACTTTAAATGAAGGTTGTTCTCACATGAAGAGTTCAGATGATAATCCATGGTCAGAAGGGGGAGAATGGTTAGTAGCAAGAAATGGGGAGAAGACACAAATCGAGGAGAAGCCAATGCACAAGATGATGGATATACAAAAGTTAAAGGTCTTCACATTCAACATGTCCCTAATACCACATCCCCCAAAGTTTTGCGCCCCTTCCCAAGATAATCCTACTGTCAAGAGTGTCCCAGGTTTGTCGGTAAACATGTAGCCGTTGAATTTCAGTTTTTGCAATCGAGGAAGTCAACTGGCTATGATTATGCATCCCTTTTCAAACACAAGAGGAAGCCTTAAGGACAAGTCTGCTTTTGCATACCAGGGCAGTGTAATAGCCCAAATACTTGATGTAAAGCCTAGTAACACTAAGGGTGGGAACCAGATTGGGCTTGAAAGTAGAAGGAAGAGTAAAATGTTAGCCCATTTGAAATATTATATCTTGGGTTAAGGAAGACATATTTTAAATTTGAATTACAATAGAATTATTAGTTAATTTCCCTCATTTCTTCTCTGTCTATTCTATTTATTTCTCCCCTTTTAAAGCTTCTTGCTACACCTATTATGCATATGCCACGTTATCCCTCTCCAATGTACGGAACCCACGTGATGAGTGGTTCTAGGTTCTTGTTAAGGGATGTATTGGATTAAAATTTAAAAAGATTATTTTTAGATAAAAAATCTTATAGATTTTAAAAGATTATCTAGAATTGTAGTGACTTTAAAGACTTTTTTAAAAGACTTGTCTTACAATCAAGATTTTATAAGATTGGATTTTAAAGGTTGTTAATAGAATTTACAAGATTTGAAAGGACAATATGGATTTATAAGATTTTAAAAAAATCATGAATTTTTAACAAACATTTAAAATTACAAGACTCAATAAAAAAAATAAAAAAATGCAATGATATTAATAAAAAAAGAAAATTATAATATAATTTTCTCAAACAGTAATTTGATGTCTTACTAAGCAGCAGCTCTCTATAGCCTCCATGCATTTGCATTTTCTCGTTCATGCTATTGGGTTTGACCAATGGGATAAAAATTATCTTCTTCATTTGGTATCGGAGCTATGCATATATGATTATAAGACCCATAATTTTTTTATTTGTTAAAATAATTCAAAATTTCGTTTGGAATTTTTTGCTATTGATCTTGGAAACCTTGGAAATTTTGTTTTACATAATGAGAGTTTTCTAACCATATATCATATGCATATTTTCATTCAGTATTCTAAGAAAATTTCAAATCTGAATTTCTGGGTTTTATTACTTGAAAATTTCTCAATTTATTTTCAATTGATACATTGAAACCTTAAATTGCTTTGGGGCTTTTGAAAAACAAGTTTTTAGTGATTTTTTGACACAAAATTGTTTGAAATCATTTCCTATAGCAAATGAATTTCGTTCATGAATGTTTTGTAACGAAACACAGGGTTCATATTATGAAAGTTTCAATCTTTCTTTAAATCGATCTTGTTTAATTTATGTAAAATGAAAATTGATTTGAGGGTTTTTTGTTCCCCTGTTCCCCCCATTGTTTTATGTTTTTTGTAATATAAAAATCATATTTTTTTGTGCCAAGAAAATTGCGACCCATAACTTGAAAAATTATTTTTTAAACTTACCAAACCTCTCAAAAATACTCAAAAATTTGTTGTTTTTGAGATAGATTAGATTCGAATCTTGTTGGGTTGTTGTTTTTGGGTTATTTTGCGATCAAAAAGTGCTCAAAAATATACTATTTTAGAGCTTTGATGAAGCTCCCATAGCGAAACCCGATTTCGAGTTGGTCGACTAGCCAAAGGAAGAAGAAGATACTACAATAGAAAAATCTTAAGAAATCCTTGTGGTTTGGGAGAAATAGAGGTGTATATATATTTGGGTCTTACAAAATTGATAAAACAAATAAAGGTTTATTCTGTAGTTACATATTAATGTTGCTTAATTAGGGCCAACAAAATGTCGCTTTTGGGTGATGCTCAATTAGGGCCAACAAAAATTGATTGTGTGGACATTCTTGCAAGATCAATTCATATCACAACTTCATTTGTTATAACCCTTTCACCACATCCCTTGTATCGGTTCCTAGTTGATTAAGATCAGTAATATGTCCACAACTTCAAGTCAAAACAAGCAACAAGACATTCACTCACAAAAATCAGGAATTATTTTTGTCTTTTTGAAGAAAAGGCACCTAAATTACGGTAAAACACAGGGTCTGAATCTGAAATCCAGGTAAAAGTGGGTAATAAAAACAAACTGCAAAGATAATAACAAGCCATTAAAGCAAAACAAATCAATCAGAAACAATTCAAGTAAAGTTACAAACCAACTTAAACCGGAGCAAGATGCAACTTATAATTTATTAAAAATGTATCTTGACTTTTTGAAAATGTATCTATAGTAAATATAACTCTACACTGCTAAATACTAAAATCCCATTGGGCAAGATTCATGTCTAACCATCCTTGTCACTGGGGGAATGAAACCTGCAATTGCCACTGCATATGAAAGTGCTGGAGCAGCTCCCTTTGGTCCTTCAGGATTATGTCTCACTAATCTTGAACAACAACCAAATACGTTGAGGCATTCTGCAAGCACATCCAAATTACATAATCCAAAATTAAAATCATCAATAACATCGGAAATTTATACCTCCTCTAATTCTTTGTCCAACCAAACAGAACTGCTGCACCATATGCATGAAGGTGTACATGATGTAAATAACATCACTTGAATGTGACATTGTAAAATCTCACTGGAAATCCTAATGTTTGTTACTCCAAACATCAGTTGTTTTTTCTTATAAGATTTTTCCGCTCAAATTGCCTTGTCTTTGATTATTCATGCAATTTCATGAATATTTTTTTTGGATTGAAAACGAAAATTATATTAGCTAAGAAGGGGAGTGTGCAAGATAGGTTAAGGTATCAATTTTAATGTATCATGCATTCTGCATGTAACTTTTTAATTTCCATAAAGCAAGATGAATAGGAATAAAATGGTCAAAAAGATTGGAGAACATTACATACCCTAATTCTTCTTGTTTATTACTGTTGGTCATCTTCCCTCGCTTCCCCAAAGTCACTAGGGAATGATATTAGACTCTCCGTATACATAGCAGACTGTACTGGACCTTCTTCGACAAACCACTGCATAATATATCTGGAATTCTCAAGCAACTCTCCTTTGTGATCAAGTTTCAATAATTTTCCAAAAGCATCTGATCCAACAATTCCACCACCTATGCTAAAGCAAATCGGGAAATGAGAGTCGCAAGGTACGTAGCAATTAGATGAAACAATGAACTTGGTCCAAGATAACTGCACTTTGTATTCTTTCATCACCCAGCAAACACCACCTGAGCAACCCAGACCGAGACATCCTTCTATTACCATGAAATGACAAATTTCAAATATCGATCTATACGTGGAGGCGGTCAAATCACGAGGCAAAGGAATCTCTGATAAACTCCTTTTTATCAAATCAAAAGCAATAATCACAGCATTCTCTGTAGAAGTACCTTTAGAGACAGCCAACCAATGAAGAGCCCCATTCAAGAGTATCCCAGATATGAATCTTACCCCAAAACCTAAATATGGAAAATTAATACCCTTAACTTTGTTCCATGAATTGGTTTTCAAGGAGAAAAACTCCATGTTAAAATTTGCAACAACTACCAAATAGTCATCAGTTGATGGGTCATATCCAAAACCATATAAAAATTTGCTACCCGGGGAGCATGATATTGTTTTTAAGGCACCTGTTGATGGATTCCATAAAATGAGATCATCATTCTCAACATACTTCAAAAGTATAAACCCTCGGCAAGAACCCAATATTTGAAGATAATAAGATCTAACGGAAGGAATTAATGATGACTTTGGAGTGAGGTACACTACAGCAGAATCATAGTGAAGTGGTGCCTCTATTCCTATAAATTCTGAAGAACATTCATTATATGGCTTAACAAGAAGTCGGTGGGTGGGTGCAACAGCAATGTCATAATGTGATTTTGCAAATTGGGGATTGGAGATGAGAGTTAGCCATGATTTACACACACATTTACAATGCAAAAGAGATATCACCGGCAACCTTAACAGAATTTCTTCGATCAAGTTGTCAGGGAGTGTGAGTGTGAGCTTCATCTCCTTCTTATTCTTCAATGTCATCGGTCACAGTTCTGGTTTCAACAGAAGCCATAGAGAAAGATTAGGCAATAAAAAATAATTAATGAATGAGATTGGGCTTTTTGAAAAGAGGATGAGGGAATCACTCAAATTTCGCTTAGCAGGAGGATTTTGATATAATGTAAAAAGAAAGCGTATCCCTGTGTTACCGAAGATTTTGTTTACTAAATTGGGTTTTTTAAAATTCAAAATATCACTACAAAATTTGTTGAATCGCAATCAAATCTCCATCGTTAATATGAATTTTTGAATCGTATGTCATAAATTATATTGACTCGTAAAATTCAGAGATATGACAAAATCATAAAAAAGTAAACCATATCATGTCTAATCTGTAACACCCCGAATTTCTAACAATTTATAAAACAATCTTATAATAAATAAATTATCAAAATTTATTTTTCTTCTTTTTACAATTATAATAATAGAAATATTGCGGAAGCTAATCTAAATATAATTTGGGGAATGTTACCGCCGCACCTGTACAATGGACAAATGCAAGGCTAAATTTATTACATTAAAATAAAACCAAAGACTAAAATCCAATAATATTCATATAATTAACCTATTTCTAGGGACTAGGATTACATATAAATATAACCTATAACTCCCTAGGGATTAGGATTACATACAATGTATTTCATATAAATAAAGTATCCTAATATAACATAGGGATTAGGATTACATATATCAAACATATAACTACCTAAAGATTAGGATACACCCAATAAAATTTCATACACAGCAAATCTACAACCACCTAGAGATTAGGATTACCTGGTCTTCGTTTTTGCTAACTTCTAGAAGAAAAGAGTAATTTGGGACAGAGAACCGGTTGGTAACCAAAAGAATATAAAATAAATTAAACTAAGTTTTTGGTCTAAGAAGAGAGAATAGTATAGGAGAAATGTTGAAGAGTGAATTGGTTTGGTTAGACGAGACCTCTATTTATAGTTGAAGTTTTGGGCTTAGATATGGGTTTCGTACATTTATTTCCTTTTTCTTTATTGATGTATTTGACTCAGATATTGGCTCCATACATTACTGACTCAATGCTGGCTCATCATATCTAAACAATTTATATTTGTTGACTCACCATATCTAAACAATTTATCAATCAAACATTACTAATCAAACATTAATACATAAATCATCAATCAATTAATAAATCAAATAATCATAATTATCGCACAAAATAATAATTTTAGCAAAGGTAAAATTAATATTACATTTTGTTATCTATCACCATAATATATATATATATATATTATTACTACTAATTTATAGTTTATTATTATTATTATATTATTATTATTATTTTATTAATAAAAATATGGGGTATTACATTCTACCCTCCTTAAAAGAAGTTTCGTCCTCGAAACTTAAAAGTTTGAACTCCTCAAATTAACTCAAAGGCATAAGGTTAAAGTTAATAAAAAATATGGGGTATTACATTCTACCCTCCTTAAAAGAAGTTTTGTCCTCGAAACTTAATTATTTCTTTTTGAAACCCCCATAAAAAAAAAGCAAACAACAAAAGAGTCATGCATAACCAAACAAACAAGACAACATAGAATACAATATATTTAAAACACTACAAATTAATAAATTGTTAACTTTAACCAAGCTAAAAAAAAAAGTTTCGAAACTGAATATCTTCTTTAAACAAATAGAAATTTTTATTGCATATATTATCTTTCATTTGCTAGAAAATTTTTAATCAATTCCAGAACAACTCTAAAATAAAGCTAATTACTTTTATAAAAATAAGAACGAGTTACTAAAGATAGCGTATAAAAATTTTAAAGAATAATATCAATAATAATTTTAAATCACAAAATAATTCCAAACATATAATCATCAAAAGTTCAAAGAAATAAAACATATTTAAAGGATAAGAAAAATAACCCTTCACTACCCACCTCTCTTGATTTATTTATTTATCTTATGTCCTATTATTTTATTTCCTAATTTTTTTTTTATTTAACTCGGGGATCTTTGAAAGATAACCCTAAGACCAACCACGGGCTCTGATACCATTTTGTAACACCCCAAATTTCTAACAATTTATAAAACAATCTTATAATAAATAAATTGTCAAATTTTTATTTTTTTATTTTTTTTACAATTATAATAATAGAAATATTGCGTAAGCTAATCTAAATCTAATTTGGGGAATGTTACCGCCGCACCTGTACAATGGACTGGTGCAAGGTTAAATTTATTATATTAAAATAAAACCAAAGACTAAAATCCGATAATATTCATATAATTAACCTATTTCTAGGGACTAGGATTACATATAAATATAACCTATAACTCCCTAGGGATTAGGATTACATACAATGTATTTCATATAAATAAAGTATCCTAATAGAACATAGGGATTAGATCAAACATATAACTACCTAAAGATTAGGATACACCCAATAAAATTTCATACACAGCAAATCTACAACCACTTAGAGATTAGGATTACCTGGTCTTCGTTTTTGCTAACTTCTAGAAGAAAAGAGTAATTTGGGACAGAGAACCGGTTGGTAACCAAAAGAATATAAAATAAATTAAACTAAGTTTTTGATCTAAGAAGAGAGAATAGTATAGGAGAAATGTTGAAGAGTGAATTGGTTTGGTTAGACGAGACCTCTATTTATAGTTGAAGTTTTGGGCTTAGATATGGGTTTCGTACATTTATTTCCTTTTTCTTTATTGATGTATTTGGCTCAGAGATTGGCTCCATACATTACTGACTCAATGCTGGCTCATCATATCTAAACAATTTATATTTGTTGACTCACCATATCTAAACAATTTATCAATCAAACATTACTAATCAAACATTAATACATAAATCATCAATCAATTAATAAATCAAATAATCATAATTATCGCACAAAATAATAATTTTAGCAAAGGTAAAATTAATATTACATTTTGTTATCTATCACCATAATATATATATATATATATATTATTATTACTACTAATTTATAGTTTATTATTATTATATTATTATTATTATTTTATTAATAAAAATATGGGGTATTACATTCTACCCTCCTTAAAAGAAGTTTCGTCCTCGAAACTTAAAAGTTTGAACTCCTCAAATTAACTCAAAGGCATAAGGTTAAAGTTAATAAAAAATATGGGGTATTACATTCTACCCTCCTTAAAAGAAGTTTTGTCCTCGAAACTTAATTATTTCTTTTTGAAACCCCCATAAAAAAAAAAGCAAACAACAAAAGAGTCATGCATAACCAAACAAACAAGACAACATAGAATACAATAAATTTAAAACACTACAAATTAATAAATTGTTAACTTTAACCAAGCTAAAAAAAAAAGTTTCGAAACTGAATATCTTCTTTAAACAAATAGAAATTTTTATTGCATATATTATCTTTCATTTGCTAGAAAAATTTTAATCAATTCCAGAACAACTCTAAAAGAAAGCTAATTACTTTTATAAAAATAAGAACGAGTTACTAAAGATAGCGTATAAAAATTTTAAAGAATAATATCAATAATAATTTTAAATCACAAAATAATTCCAAACATATAATCATCAAAAGTTCAAAGAAATAAAACATATTTAAAGGATAAGAAAAATAACCCTTCACTACCCACCTCTCTTGATTTATTTATTTATCTTATGTCCTATTATTTTATTTCCTAATTTTTTTTTATTTAACTCGGGGATCTTTGAAAGATAACCCTAAGACCAACCACGGGCTCTGATACCATTTTGTAACACCCCAAATTTCTAACAATTTATAAAACAATCTTATAATAAATAAATTGTCAGAATTTATTTTTATTTTTTTTACAATTATAATAATAGAAATATTGCGTAAGCTAATCTAAATCTAATTTGGGGAATGTTACCGCCGCACCTGTACAATGGACTGGTGCAAGGTTAAATTTATTATATTAAAATAAAACCAAAGACTAAAATCCGATAATATTCATATAATTAACCTATTTCTAGGGACTAGGATTACATATAAATATAACCTATAACTCCCTAGGGATTAGGATTACATACAATGTATTTCATATAAATAAAGTATCCTAATAGAACATAGGGATTAGATCAAACATATAACTACCTAAAGATTAGGATACACCCAATAAAATTTCATACACAGCAAATCTACAACCACCTAGAGATTAGGATTACCTGGTTTTCGTTTTTGTTAACTTCTAGAAGAAAAGAGTAATTTGGGACAGAGAACCGGTTGGTAACCAAAAGAATATAAAATAAATTAAACTAAGTTTTTGATCTAAGAAGAGAGAATAGTATAGGAGAAATGTTGAAGAGTGAATTGGTTTGGTTAGACTAGACCTCTATTTATAGTTGAAGTTTTGGGCTTAGATATGGGTTTCGTACATTTATTTCCTTTTTCTTTATTGATGTATTTGGCTCAGAGATTGGCTCCATACATTACTGACTCAATGCTGACTCATCATATCTAAACAATTTATGTTTGTTGACTCACCATATCTAAAAAATTTATCAATCAAACATTACTAATCAAACATTAATACATAAATCATCAATCAATTAATAAATCAAATAATCATAATTATCGCACAAAATAATAATTTTAGCAAAGGTAAAATTAATATTACATTTTGTTATCTCTCACCATAATATATATATATATATATATTATTATAACTACTAATTTATAGTNTATTATTATTATATTATTATTATTATTTTATTAATAAAAATATGGGGTATTACATTCTACCCTCCTTAAAAGAAGTTTCGTCCTCGAAACTTAAAAGTTTGAACTCCTCAAATTAACTAAAAGGCATAAGGTTAAAGTTAATAAAAAATATGGGGTATTACATTCTACCCTCCTTAAAAGAAGTTTTGTCCTCGAAACTTAATTATTTCTTTTTGAAACCCCCATAAAAAAAAAAAAGCAAACAACAAAAGAGTCATGCATAACCAAACAAACAAGACAACATAG